GAATGACTTGTCTTTGTGGAGCACTATCTCTCACATCATTATTATGTACCTGAAATACAAGCCTTTAATAGATTTGAAAATGGAGACTAAAATGTCATAGGCACAAAGCTGCTGACTATAGGGCTTATATGTGTTTGTCAAAAGAAGATGAAAGACATGTGAAAATCATAACAGGTTCCCATCAGAGAATCTAGAATGAATGACCAGAAGTCCATCCTGCCAGCAAGTGGTACCTGTCTATTGCCTGGATAAAAACAGACAGTGATTCTGAATTGTACAGGGCCAGAAAACAAAGTCCAGTACAAAGGCCTTTGGGTTTCTGAAAGAGACAGAATTACAAAGTATTGAGACATACCCTCTTCCACCATAGCATTTCCCTTCTGTGTGACTGCTTTAATGCGGGGCTCATGGCCTGCAATTTCTGCCTGCAAAGCCTGATGCTTCTTTAGCAGGTTCTGGACACCAATTAAGTCCTTGCCTGAAAGATATAAAATAGTTAAATAATTTAATCCAGAGTCATTAGACTAAACTAAAAATTCAAGGAAGCTGTAATGAGCGCTAGAAAAACTTGGAGCATAGGAACTACAACAATGAAGACAAAGTGCTATGAAAACTAAGTTACCCATGGGAATTGCAGAAGCAACATAAGAGTTGAAGAACCACAGGTGATGGCAAACACGTAACTCCCCACAATGTTAATTACAAGAAACGCTTCAGAAGTTACCAGAAGTTCCATACAGGGACAAGTTAGAATAGAGTAGTTCTGACATCTAAATCATGGATATCTCAGGATGGACCCACCTCTGTTTGTTGAAGCTGCAATAGGTTCTTTTTCCCTAATCCAGGTCTCTTCATCCTCAATGTCACGGAAAAGCTGCTGCAGGCGAAGAGAATCTGCCAGTTTCTGCTTGCGAGCTACCATGGGATCCTTCAGAGCTTCATAACGAGCTACCAGAGCTTCTTGTTTCTTCTTGATATTGTCAGCATCAAAGTGTCCAGCATCTTGGAACTGGCGTGCCTGGATGGTAATGCCATCTATACGATCCTGAAATCAATTCAGCAAGAGCAGCATGTCAGAATTTCTGTAAGATGGCTGTGGTGCCAGGAGATATTTTCAGGTCTAGTAAGTTATACCATGACAGAACAACTTGAGAACCTCATCAGCTGCACACTGCCAGTGCAGTAATTTTGGTAATAATCATATCCTGGATAACACTCAACATATTAAGTAAAAGTAACTAGTTTTAATCTGTCAACTTCATAACGAAAGATTATGGAAATGACATTCACTTTACAGATGTGATACTCTAGTTGAACCATTTTTCAACTGTTAACAACTGATTATTCCAGCTGTGGGAAGCCAGATTTTGTTGATGTTCATGCTGTGGACTGAACTCCCCTAAAGACCATTTGCCAACAAAGGAACCATCCAAAACAAAGGACAAGACATCTTTTTTAGTTGGCATTCACAGCACAAAACAATGCTGTGCTGCCAGCAGGGCACAACATGGAGTTTTACTTTCTCAAAAAGCTTCCTTTTGTCAAAATATTGAAAATACTGTTCTTAGAGAAATACAGTTTAAGTTTCAGTTAAACATTATTTCTGATAAGTAAACTGTAAAGCTCAAAAATTGTGAAAACACAGACACGCTAAGATCTCTGGAGTGAATACTTTTGAGTGAGCAGATCTGAAAGGGCAGGCAGAGCAAGTTTTTCCCTTACCTGATGGGCAGCAACATCTGCCTCTAGCAGGGCATGCTTCTTCTGAAGATTCTGAACACTAGTAAGATCTTTCCCATAATCATCAGAAGCCAAGTGTCCCTCTACTTCATACAGCCACAGCTCAATGTCTTCCACGTTGCGATTGAACTGCTGCTGCTGGTTGGCTTCACGGAGTTTTATACCTGATTGAGACAAGAGTGGCAAGAGGAAAAGAGGACTTGAGTTTTCCATGTCATAGAACCATAGGATGCCAGGTTGGAAAGGATCATTTGGTCCAACCTTTCTAGGAAGTACTCCAGTTTACATAAGATGGCTCAGCACCTTGTCAAGCTGGGACTTAAAACTGTCCAATGTAGGGAATCTACCACTTCTCTTGGGAGACTGTCCCAATGTTGGACTGTCCTCATGGTGAAAAAACTACCTCTTGTGTCCAATTGGAATCTCCTCAGGAGCAACTTGTGCCCATCACCCCTTGTCTTTTCCATGTGACTCCTTGTAAACTGGGAGTCTCCGTCTTCTTGGTATCCCACTTTTAAGTACTGAGACATGGTAATAAAGTCTCCCCTGAGCCTTCACTTGATTGAACTCATTTCCTGTGTTCTCATGGCTAAACTCTCAGAAAAAAGAACTACTTGAATTCTGAGCGAGTTGTACCTTTGAGCTCAGTGGCCTCCAGCAGTTTTTTCCACAAGCTGATAACTTCATTCATGCGAGCTGCCACCTCATCAGATGCATAGTGCTTGACATCAATCAACTTCTGGCCAGCTTTCTCCAGCGCATCGATGCGACTTTGGTTAGCAGAAAGCTCTGCTTCAAAAGCCTGATGTTTCTGAACTTTACCTTGCAAGTTTGATGGATCCTACAGATGAAGAAAAAGAACTTTTTAATCCAATATTATTAAAATCTCTGAAGAATCTCTAAAATTAGACTACATTCATATACATTTATTTGGGTTTAGTGCCAAAAGTAGGCCTTAAATCATAACATTTAAGCTACTGAATAAGCGTGATTACAGTAATTCCCCTTGGGGGTGAGGGGGAAATTACAGTTCCTCCTCTTGCCATCCATTCTGCCTACTATCAGCACCATTTTGGAACACTGCTTCACATTGTTAGGCTGATGACAAAAAGCCTGGTATTGCCTTAACATCACTCTAACGTTTGTCTTTGTGTTTACCTTGTAGGCCTCATCTGTTGCAGTTTTCATTTTTTCATTAACCCAACTCTTGAGCTCATCAGAGTCTCGGAAAAACTGCTGCAGGTGGAAAGAATCTGCCAGCTGAGCACGGCGGTACATGGCTCTTTCGTGAAGGGCATTTCGGCGGCTCAGCAGCTGAAGAACAAGAAAGTAAAAGGTTTAAAATCCTTCAGCCACCACTGCACCTGTACTTTTGGGAGAGCTCTGCTGATTTATCCTACATTGTAGTCATACCTTTTAAAATAAGAAAGCAGCAGGTGATTTAAAGTCTACAGTCCAAACCTGTTTTAAGATACTTACAGCATCTCTGCGTGTAGCAACATCATCCATGGCATAATGGTTATTCTGAATCAGTTTAGTAGCAAACTCATCTAATGCCTAAAGAGAAAACAGGTGTCCATTTACTTGGTGTAACAGAAGCTGTTTGTGCAAGTTTACTTAGAAGATTAATTCTCAACATTTTATCACAACAAAATTAACAGAAAACCATTAAGAATAGCTATTGTTACACATCATCTTACTTGTAGAAGAGTGCAGATCTTTGCCAAATCTGCATGCATACATGTGCTGGCATGAGAAGCAAGCACTGGGTTACTCAGTTCTCTGAGGCAGCAATCAAGCCTTATCTTTTCCACTATTTTCCATTTTAGAGACAATACACACAATTTAGATCTAATACACCCAGAAAACAGTGGATCAATTCTGCAGAGCAAACCCCAGCCTTCTCTGTCATCTTCCAGCACTGTGTCCTCCCCAGTAAAAAAAACCAAATCACTTGTTTTATTTCTTGCCCATTTAATGATGACCTAATGTAAATGTCTTACTGTGATTTTCTCCTCTTGGGCACTTAGGGATTTCTCAAAGTCTTCATGCTTCTTTAGAAGAGCCTCCACACTATCCAAAGAATCCCCAAGGTCTTCATTGAGCAGAAATGCCTGAAGTAAGGAAACAAAGACATAATTGGTTTTTATGTTTCCATGCTCAGCTGCTCTAAATCAACTCAAGCATGGCCAGTGATGTTTCCTACCATATGTATGATATTATTGACAAGTAAAGCACAATTCACTGGGATGGTGCTCCCTGTACATCTTTAACAGCCAAGGTTCTGAATAATTATTTGTAGCTTCTTATTCAAACAGCATTTTATAAGAGTTAACACATGTAAAAGCCACCTGAAGCCAACTTGTCACAACTAATAGTTTCAAAATTAGATGGAAACAGTAATTATAGCAGCTTGGGCAGTCATATTAAGTAACTCTGCTCAGCACCCTGCTCACTAATGCATGTTTAGTGACCATCACTGACACTAATAAATGTCTAAGTCCACAGAATACTAGAAAGAAATAAAAAAATCAACCATATCTGGGGAGTTCAAAGATAAGCACTCACTTCTTGTTTGCTCATCCAGTTGTCAACTTGCTCAGTATCTCTGTAGAAAAGCTGCAGGTCCATGCACTGCTCATACTGTTGCCTGCGAAGCTCCCATAGCTCTAGCAAGGCAGATCTTTCATCTGAGAGGATGGTCAGCTAATGGATTGGGAAGAGGAATACATCATGCTTTTATTTAACAGCCTGGTTCATATTCATTTCAATGTAAAATCAAGTTGTGCGTCTAAAAAAAGTGGTTAATGCTGGACTGAAAATGACCTCCTGTGTAAAGAATCATCCTCATACAGGGAAAGCATTTTTTCAGCTTAACAAGCTTGAGAAGTAGCAACAACCTCCTGACTTCAGTCAGAAATCTCTCCTCTTCCAAATTACATCTACACAGAGGTATTTAATGGGCAATTGCACTTTCTGACTGCAGACATACTCACAAAGGAAGCTCTTCAGCAAGCCTCCTGCTCTCTCAGCTTCTGAAATCTCTTTGGCCCACTCTTGCTTACAACATCTCAACTGTCTGACTGACCAATGTTTCACTACACACACTTTATAAGAGGTCCCATTAGTTTGAAAACCAAAATTTAGAAACACTAAATATTTACTGGCACTTCTGATAGCAAACCTAAACTTTTGAAGGAAAGATATACTAGTCGTTCCTAACAGATAGCACTAATAGTCCCTACTAAGAGATAGGCAGAAGCTGTTCATTTGAGAATGGAAAGCACAGAGTACTTAAATACACGAAAAAAGCCCTGCACCTAGAGGGATGATATTTAGCAGCTTACAATCTTAACAAGCGATAAACTTTTAAATTAAGGAACACTGAAGGAACACAAAATTATTCTACGTGCTCTTACCTTTTCTTTAACTTCATCAGAAGCATAGTGCCCAGCAGCAAGCAAGGCCTGGCCAGACTCATCAGCAGATTTGAAGCTGTCTTCATGGGCATCTATTTCTCCCTATGAAGGGAACATGAATAACCCATTACCAAAATTATCTTAGAATAAAATGTCAGAGCTGAAAACTGTTATTGAAAAACAATACAGACTCAACAGTCTGGACATGTGAATGATAAGCTTTCAATTATTGTTAAAAACATTACACTTAACATGGAAACTAGAATGAAATGTTTTGCCTTACAATACAGATAAGGTAAATACAAAGTCATATGTCAAAATAAAAGTAGAGGTTGGTTTTAAGCTGCAATCCTGTTTACTTACAACAATTGCTCATGATGGAGAACTGAAACAGTCATTAGTCCAACTATCAGGTATAGTTACTTCTCATAAAATACTATCATAAACCTTCTTAAATACTTATATATTAGTGTGTATCTACTATCAAGAAGCAAAGTAAAAATATTAAATCAGCACAGCAACTTAGGTGCATGATCATACCATTCAGTTGCATGCAAACTGTTGGTTGCATGAACAAAGGAGTCTAGTGATACTATGAGTGGTTCTGACTCAAGAGACCACATTAGACACACTAACAGCTGTTGAGAGCTGCTGACTGGATCTGGCCGAGGAACTATTGTACCTTATGCTCCTGATGTCTGTCTAGAAGGGCTTCTGCTCCAGCCACATCATTGGCAAGTTCATCAGCATTTATCAGAGCCTTCATCTCAGTCACCCAGCTGGTGAGGTCTCGGAAGTCTGCAAGAAAACGCTGCAGCCTTAGGAAAAGAAAAGAAAAGAAAAAATGGTTGGGAATAGTTTGTTTGCATGGTTTCTCCATCCTTACCCCAAAGAAAGAGTTACAAACATAAAACTGCTCCTCAGATAGAAACAAAATAATACAATACCAAAATGCAACTAGAATATAAATAACTATATATGCTTTCAATCAAAATAAGAAGCATTTTGAAGCTAGGAAAAAAATCCTGGGTTCAAAATCAATTTCTCAAATATATGTTTTGCATATACCTGATGTTGAAAGTAGAAGGAATATTCCTAACTACAAGCCTGTGTGTCAAAGACAAAAGAAATCAAAAGACTGTTTCAAGACAGCTCATCTGTCACAGCCGTAACACAGTGTGTGGGGGGAACTGACAGGAAGTTTCAACTGCACATACTTCAGCCTTAAAACAACAAGCAAAGAAATTCTCATGTTCCTTTCAGCATGCCTTTACAGCTATTGCCTTTGGCACGTGCTTAACACTTATCAGCAACGGTGATCAGTTTCTGTTTCCCTTCCAAATTTGCTGTTAATTGATCTGAAGAGATTATGACAGGGAAGAATGATTACGTGTGTGAGTCTCACCACCATAAATCTTGGATCATCGCAGGGAAAAAACAGCAGAAAAAGAAAACCAGAAAGGATGTAAACTAACCACCATGCTAGGCTAAGTTTCTTTTTAGCATGGCTTCTCGATAGTGACCTGTTACGTTTCATGGACAACCAGGCTAGTATAGAAACAAGATTGGACAATAACAAATCCCACAGCAACAAAGCAACTATCACAGAAAAAGGTACTTCATTTAATCTAGGACAATACAACAAATAATATACCCTGCTTTAGTCTTCAGAGAATCATAAGGACTCCATAGTGAACAGATTTGTAGTATGTCTATTAAAAAAGCCCACCAAAAAGAAAACAGTCAGATAATGGACTTTAAAATGCAGATATCAACTCAGATGGGAGAAAAAGCTAAAGTCCTAAAACCTCAAGGTGTCTATTTTGATAATTGATCCACACCCAGAGAATGACCAAAAGCTGCCAGAATTTATCATAATTATTTTACAACAAGAAGTTATAAAATATAATTTAGTGAACAAAACTGCTTCTGGAAATACCAGAATAATAAAAAAAACCCAATAGAAACAGCAACCCTTTTGTCCCCTCCCAAAAGCCCTCTGTCCAAGGTGAATAAGGAAGGCCAGTTCCTACCTGTAGGAGTCGTTAAGGCGGGCGTGTCTCTCTGCTGCCAGGGTTCGGATTTGCTCCCAGTTGGCAATCAGCTCCTCCCGTTTCACTTGAATCTGGGAAGCATTTATGGGGTGGGACTGCTGCAAACGGTCAGCTTCTGCACAAAGGGCCTTCACCTAAACCCAGTCACAAACACTGAGTGAGCTTCCAGCCTTTCACAAGCAGGTTACCTGGTTTCAACTAGGTAAAACACATCCGGTACAGGTACCTTATCTTCCAGAGCTGCAAGGTCTCTTTCGAGGCCTTCGTGCTTACGCAGCAAAGCCTGCACACTGGCCAAGTCCCTGCCAAAATCATCTGAGGCCATCAGCTGCCCCTTCTCCTTAATCCAGCTGATTGTTTCATCCACATCCCTTCAAAACAAAGCACAGATTGAAAGCAGTCTATCTTGTATGGAAAAGGAAAGAAAGCAGGATGTTTTCCTGTACATTTGCCAGTCTTACTGGCATACGAACCCTTACATATGAAAACACCAGAGCCAAACACAATTATCCTTTAAAAAATCAACAACAAAACAACCTAAAAAAAATGACTCTTTTTTTTTTTTTAAATCTCAAAAAACCTTGAAGCTTACTGGCAAACTATTTTTCAGATGGTGTCACCAGATGCAGACAAGGAATTATAGCACCACTGAGCACCAGCATCTTGTAGGTCCATTTCCAACTCTGGACCCTTCTCTGACTTAATTACAGCCAATCTCAAAATGCTCATGGAGAGCAGGATAGAAAGACACTGCTAAATGACCTGCAGGACAATTGGGCTGACATCCATCTGACAACAAAAAAACATCCCTTTTAAGGCTCATCTAGGACAGAATTGGGGAAAAAAGCCCTTGGAGGAAAAGGAAGTAAAATTCTAATTAGCAGGAATTTTTTTTTCCAAGTGTTGAAAAGCTAAATCAGAATGACTATTCTAAGGTAATTCTAGAACAAGGCCCTCATTAAACAAGTTGTGAGAAGGAGAAAAGCAAAAACATAACAGACAAAATACAGCTGAATGCATCATTAAGCACCCAAATACTACATCGCTTCAGCAGATCCAGCCAAGATCATACCTGTTGAAACGCTGAACTTCAGCTGCCCCAAAGAGCTTTCCCTGCCTCTGAAGAGCAAGGCCCTTCAGACGCTGCCAGCTTGCATTTACTTCATCCTGTTTGGACTTTATCAGTTCCTCCTCAGGGTGTTGCTCCTAGGAAGCAAGGGAAAAATGCTGTTTTCATATGATCAATTGACAACACTTTGAAACACTGCTGCTTTTCAAGAGACAAGTTTATAACTACTGCACTTTCCAGAGTTTCACACAATTCAATACATTTCCTGAAACCTCACTGTGTAAACATTCAGTACTCTTGAGTGGTTTGATTTTCCCTGTGTACAAGTTGGACAATAAATATTATTATCTTCTTTTTTTTTCCTGGAATGCAACACTTCCTGCCCTGTCTCCATCCTTGATCAAGATCCAGATGACATATCAGAATATATTAATCCTGGCTGTCCAAGAGAAATACACTTAACCCCAAATACAGCAGTTTGTCTCACTAGTCACTGCTCTCCATGTTTTCAGAAACATCCTCAGTTGGGCAGTTCCTCAAGCTATTCAGCAGAACAAGTGAATCAAATTATGACCATTTAAGATTAAGATGGCCAAGGATCTAGGCACATGGAGAGCAAAACTTAACGGTATGCTAACAAACCATGAATGTTTACCTGGATAAGTTTGCCAGCAAACTGGTTCACTTCATTCACTCTTT